CCCTATGTTATAACTTCGGAACTTAGCTCCACTCTTTGGCCATGCCACTGGGTCTTCTTCGCCCTTTGCCATCCGCGGGAAGTTGCCGCGATAGAGTCCCGACTGGAGGTTGAAGCGGTGGAGGGAGCCGTTCCTGAAGGGTTTAGGGTTTAGGGTTTAGGGTTTAGGGGGTGTACTTAAAGGATCATGGGACTTAGTAAGTAGGGTTATAACTATGGTAACTATACTTATAACCCCAATTAAGGGGCTTATAACCTTACTTACTAAGTCCCATGATCCTCTAAGTAGGGCAGGGTTTTACGCTCTCACAACTCGGACTTGCCAGGCGAGGTTCAATAGGGCAGGGTTTAGGCTATAGGGTTTCTGGCTATCAAAGATGTTGACGCCACAGAAGAGGGTCATCTGGTCATATTCGAAGAAGGGAGATATACCTGAATCAGCCCAGGAAGTTTTGACCCCTGGGCTCAAGTCGAATTCGGCGGAGCTCTACAAAGCTTTCCCGACCCCTAAACTCGAAGTCCTAAGCCCGAGTTCCCTGATCTCTTGAACTTCTGTAGATCCTCCATGTAGGGCTCTCGGATTCCCCCGCTTTGGCATTCTGGAGTTTCCAAGGGTTTCGATTAGCTTCGAGTTTCGATGCTCTCGGGCGCTACCGGCGAGGCCAGACAAGGCATCTTGCACGGCAGGAAGCAGAACCATCGGGCATTTTGAAGCAGAGCTTGCGGGTTGAAATGGCTTCTTTGGCGAAACACCGACCAACTGCACCGCTTCAAGCCAACTTAGCAAGAACATCAAGTACATAAACCAATCTCTGGGATCGGCTTACTTGCGGACATGTGACGAATTGCCCAGATGCTGTCTTTCGAGTTGTAGGCGAGCTTTATATAAACATTGGACACAACCCTGAACAAATTTTGGGCAGCCTGGTCAAACCCCGCCACCCCCAACTTGTACAGTTCATCAATACCTTCGGAGTCTGCGAACCTCTGAACGATTTCACGAATCGGTGGTGATGTATGTACATGTGCGCACACATACATATACATACACGCATACATATACATATACATTTACCTATATACACGTGTGGGTGTACGGTTGCCCGTACTTATGTATATACAAGTGCAGTTTTTTAGATAGACGGATTGGTAGATACAAGACAGATAGATACACGGTTAGATGGAAAGGTATATGTACCGCAGATATATATATATATATACACATACACACACACATAAATGCTCATATGTTTTTGTAGGGATAGATAGACAGACAGATAGATAGGTAGATGGATACATGTGGGTGCTATCTACACACATGTACACATATGTACGTGTATTTGCAAACCTGTATATGTATATGCAAACAATCGTGCACAAAGATGTGCCTATGTACGTTTATGATGCAGACACAGGTATACACGCTTAGATATAGATTTACACACCCGCACACCCACCCACACACATGTGCTTGTGTGTATATATATACACATGTACATACACGTGCATAAAATTATGCACGGAGGTACGCATGTACGTACGAATGCACCTATGTCTGTCTGTATGCACGTATGCAAGCATGCATGTGCGTATGTATGTGCGCAGGTATGCAGGGTATGCCTGCGCGGTTACGTGCAGATACACATCAAACACGTTTTCAATGACCTGTGGGAGTGTCGGGCTATGGCTTTGGGGTTTCGACTCTCACTCTCGCACGCGGCAGGCAAGGCTCCAGGGTTTAAAGAGATTGGCTTCAAGCTTAGCGATGCCAGTTCGAGTGTAAGACCATGAACCTTCATGTAACACTCTGCACGAAGAACTGCAGTGGCATCCCCAAGGGCCGTCGCGGTTGAGGGCTCAGAAAGGGAAAGCCTTTGCCAGCGAGGTTCTCCAACCCCAGCACGCAGTAGTTGCCGCAGGAGCTGATGGCCACACTGCACACAGGACCTGCAGGCCCAGTGTTAGTTCCGTGAAGCTATCTCAGAAAGCCCCGTGTGATTTCGGCATGAGTGGGGGTGCAACATCGTCTTCGGGTTCGACATTTCAACTAGGAAAGGCTACTTTCACAGGTGAAGCCTCGAAGGAAGCGGCACTTAGTAGCAGCTCGCTGTCCCCTTCACTTGGCATAAGGAAGACTCGGAAGCATCCAAACTCCCTTTTCCGAATCCCTCCAGGTTCACCTTTCCTCCTCCTATTCAATGTCCTGGGATGGAAAGGGTGTAAGGGTACTACCGGGTGCCCTCACCCTGGGTCCCAAGGCCCCCATCCTAAAAGCTTCCAACAAGCGCGCGGCCCAATCCCGAACCTTAAACTCCCAAGTCAGAGGCGGCAAAAAGCATGGCCTCCCTTTAAACGAGATGTCCAGGAGTTCAGACCCACAGTTCCAAGGACTTCAAACTCTTTACAGTCAATCCCTGAATCCCAAAAACCTGGTGTGTTCATAGTATGCTTGTAGCAAGGACTTGTAAGGAGTAGTATTAGAGCCGTTTTTCAGGGCGCCAGTTTTTAAATCCAGAACCGCTCACACGCCAACTTCAAGGAAGCCAAGGAGCTGTCTCCGTTGAGAGCTCGGGGAGGCACCAACACCTCGAGTGCATCGCTTTCGAGGTGTAAGCGTTCGGTTTCTAGGGTTATTTTTTGCTGTTTAGATAGGTGTTAATCCCCGGCGGGGGCTTGGGGCTTAGCACTAGTGGGGTCTTGTAATCTTCAATTCCATCCTAGCAGAAGCCACTACAACATTCGGGAAGTGCGCCTTCTCTCGCAGGTCTTTTCATCTGTCGATGGTATTAGGCTAGTATGGTATAGTGCCTGGAACACCGGAAAAGCGAAGAATGCTTGAAATGCCCGAATCACACGGAGAAGAGCTAAGAGACCGAAGGGGCGTGGATAGGCTTCGTTAAGGAGGTACGTACGCAGGAGCAGAAGCCTGAAGGGGCCATTGAAGTTCGTCGGCAAAGTAGCCAAAGGGTACCAAGGGCGATCAACTTAAGGCCTCACCAAAGAAGGACTTTTTCGGCCCAGAGTGTTGGAAGGTGAGCCGCTTAAAACAACTATGCGCTCCAAACCAATGTCCGGCCGTCGCCGGGCAAGCCTTTTGACAAATTGCTAGGGTCACCAGCAAATATGTCATTGTTGGCTCCGTTTCCTTTAGTCTGTCAGTGGTTCGGTTAGCTAGGTTTGTAGGGCTCTGGGGTTTGGATTCTTTATGGTTTTGGATCTTTATGCGGACCCACAAGACATATCAAGCAAGGCTCCTCGATGTGTCGCAATCCACTCTTCCAGGGTAGCACATGCCATCTGATGTCATGATTAGATGTGGAAAAGAAAGCAGTGCCGGTCGTTCTTTACTCTTCCGGCAAGGTCTCCAGACTGGTAGCAGGACTGTAGGACTTGCAGGCTGTACACTTCAGCGCCTGCGGGGAATCAGCTGGGACTGGTAGCTCTTCAGAGGGATGGCTCCCTAATACCCTGTTTGGTGCCTTGAAGTCTAGGAGGCCCTATTTGCCATGTGCTTTTTCTTCACTTCTCGTATCCGGAGAAGGGGCGGGGGGGGCTTGGGAGGGGGGGCGGGAGCGAGTGGAAGGGGGGTGGTTACGACCATGTTACCCAAACCAACCCAAAAACCTACTATTTACGGCATTCTTGCCTGCTTCTATAACATGTGCAGGATGGTGTTCATGACATTTGCGAACATGCCCTATTTGCAGCATTTTGCCTCTTCATACAACATGTTGCAGGAGGATGTTTCAAGTTTAGCAACACGAGGCGCTGTCACAAGTGTTCATGCCATTCTGCAAGCATGCCTCAAAACCCTGCTATTTGCAGCGACCATGCTTACTTACACAACATGCGTCTCATTGAATACATCTACACCTGGGTCCGGTGCTCGCAGTTGGATCCCAAAGTGGATGTCGCGGATCACTTGGGGAAGGTTTGCAAACATGATTGCCCTAAGTTTGAGTCCCTGGATGTCCTTTTTGCATCTGGTTTGCAGCGACTCAACCAGGACAGAAACAAGAAGCACACCCTGGATGTCCTGAAACACGAATCCCTCCATTTCCATAGCCACGCGCACGAAGTCATGTAATTTACAGCACTTGCCGTGCATGCCTTATGTAACATACAGGCCCGCCGCCTCGTGAACCCCCTGGGAGCCCTGAACTCTCGGAAGCCCTTCGGCCTGAAACCCTAAGCCTCCTGATCATCGGGTCGTAGATTCTGTGGGTCCTCGAGCCTGGCGCGATTTCGGTAAGTGTTTCAAACCTCCATTGTCTGGAAAATGGGGCCTTGCATATAGCTGAACGAAAAAGGGTATTGAACTTTCTGGCAACCGGGAAGGAACGGTGAACATTTTCGACGGAGAGCACGTCTAGAAACCCATTAGCTGTGCCCAGGTGGAGCCCAGTACCCCTACAACCCTACAATAACGAATATTGTTCAGATATGTAGGGCTTGGTCTGCGGATCCAGGTTAGGCTCCTTCGTTGAGAGATACTGGGCTCTTCGGGCGAAGGCGCTGTTTGTGCGAGAGCCGCATGTGAGGGCGACCATGTGACGGCGCAAGGGAGGCCGTCCTCAGCACTTGAAGCAGCCAGAGAGACCACTTTTTCCCTTCATGGAGGAATCTATTCCGTAACGAAATGGACTCTAGATTTTCACTGCCACACCTAAAGCATGTGCTTGGGATTGTTTGGGTGTGCATGCACACAGCGAGGCAGAGACATGCACTGGAGACAGAGAGAGAGAGAGAGAGAGCCACAGTGAACGTGATATACCAAACACCAAAGCCAAGAAACAAAGAGAGGCAGGCACCAACCCATGAAATGGTTTACTTCGAGGGTTCCTGTAAGGGCTCCTTCTATGGGATCTTTAAGGGGCTTTTTGGGTTTAGGGCTTTGGGTTCCTATATGAAAAGGACAAGCACTCGCAGTTGGAGTCTTGCAGTGGGGCTGGCAGCCCTGTTAGTAACTCTAACCCTAAACCCTAAACCCTAAACCCTAAACCCTAAACTCCAACAGGAGCCTGGAACCTTGGGGTTTCAGCAGGGTTCAAGACCGCGAGAAAAGGGATCAAGAGCATGGCCTCAAAAAACAGAATGCCATGATATAGTATGGACTAAAATGGGAGATTTAGTCGCGTAGTACAGGTAGTTCAAACCTTTATATCAAGGGCCTGGCCTGGTGCTCTGGCATCTCAGGGTTTGTCAAGCTTTTGGTGGTCCAGTCCCTACTCGAAGCCCCTGTTTCAGTAGCCCTGCATCCCAAAAGCCCTCGTCCCCGTACTGTCTTAAGCACACCAAGCGTCGTGTGCCGTTACCACGCAGGGCCAGTCAAAGTGGCGCACCTGTTCTTAAAAGGCATCATGGAGGTTTTCGGGACTGGTTACCCGACATCGACGACGACTACAACCATCAGTAAATGAGCAACACGGACGAAACTAACATAGACGATGACTCCAGTGTGGAACTGCGAAAAGCTTGCACATGTCGAGTTCAAACACAAACCCTCACCCACGCACGCTGCGAGCCGCCCTTGCGTTTCGCCCCTACCTCACCTGCATCTATCGACAACCCAATGCGCCTGAGCGGTGAACTTGGTTACTTGACAGAGTTCTCCAGCCCAATTCCAGCGGATACCGCTAAACCCGTGGAGGGTATACGGGTTCCTTGAAGGGGCCTTGAGCTCTTTGCCTGTGCACCAAAGTAACATCGTCGTAGCTCTGACGTTGCAGTATATCAGACATATCAGACAGAAGAAGCAGCAGGCAGCCACATAGTCTGCATAGCTCTGCAAGTTAGGTTGACTTGAAGCCGCCCCTTCTTCGGATAGGTCGATCTCACAAGCACGCTGGAAAGGAGATATCGCCCCGACCATGAAGAACAAGACACTGTACAACGCCCTCTGCCCTCATTTACAGATGCAAAAGGAACCTCCGAAAATTCTGAGTCAGACTTGCCGGTAGTATCAGTGACCGTATCAACATTAACTACCTAAACCCTTTTTGCAACAGGCTTTCCAATTACCTAAACCCTAAACCCCAAACCCTTAGTATTGCCGTTCGTATTCGTACTGGGATTACTGTATATACTCTATATACTATATATGCTATATATATATATACTATATATTATATATTATATATACTATATATAGATAGGCACCACCGCCCGACTCCGACCCGGGCCTGGCATGCGGCCATGTCCACCACGGGTGGCAGCCAGTCCTTCCGGGCTCTTCGAAAGGGGTTTTTTTGCTAAAAGGAAACTACAGGGGGGGAGTTTAGGTTATATAGGGCTTCTATAAGGCTTCCATAAGGCATATAGACCTTCTGTAAGGCTCCTATAACGGTAACTACCCACCTGAAAATGTCCCAGATTTTGCGAGGGAAACCGGGGGGGCTCCAGCAATAGCTCAATGCCAGGATGCCTCTAATGTAGAGGCCTTAATTGAGAACCCCCCCCCCAAAAAAAAAAAGTCTAGGTAATTATTAAGGCCCCTATATGAGAGTCTAGAAATTTTAAGGGAGGCCCCTTAGGGTTGCTGCGATAGAAGCTCTTCAAGCAGGTTTTTTCCGTGCCGCTTGGCAACGACGAACCCACATAGCAGGGGCGCCCTTGGTTTTAGGTTTCTTGTGGGGCGGGGAGGGGGGGGGGGGTTAGTGATTCAGTGGTTTGGGGGTTTCAGTTTCTATCAGATTCTGGATGAAGGCCTGGGGCTGACCCCGAAAGCGGGGGCTGAGTTACTACAAGCTGTAGGCCACTATAAGATCTAGAAGCCCTATCATCCAAACCCTACAGAGGCAAACCCCACCAACTTATCCGTAGTCTTGCCTGTAGCTCACAATGGCGCACAGTCCTTGTGCTGGATGCCCCCGGAGATCTTCTTCAGAGAGGCTTGAGAATATTCCTGGGTTTAGTGTTTTGGGCTTTAGGGGCTTAGGGTTTCAAGCAGACTTGACAGGAGGATTCGTATTCGAATCCTCGGTGCAGGGAGAAGGGTTTATTCATCAGGATTCTGCATGTAGGCCGGCCTCCTCAATGCAGCACCGACAGCAATCACCAAGATGGAATAATGTGCTTCGGGTCCAGGGTTGTGGCAAAACATGGCCCTTTAACAAGCCATTCTTGGCATGGTTTCTAGCATAGTGCAGCGCGAATCCCATCTGCAATCACGTTCAGCCCCATTCCTTGCATTCGTGTTCCGTGGATTCGGCCAAACACGCAGCTTCAGGGTAACGTGAACCGGAATGATTCAGGCATTTCGATTCTTGCTTAGTAGTCAGGCGTAGCCTGAATCACAGAAATCGCTACAAGGTCCCAGAATCGAGGCTCCACAACCCATGCCTCGAACCCCGAGCCCCCGAAGCTCTAGACCCGCCGAACCCTTCAGCTTACGCTTCAGACTAGAAGAGAAGCACCTCACGGCCGTAACGCCAAAGAGCCGTGAAACCGAGGGGTTCCCTGAATCCGAAAACACACACCGGAATGCCAGACTCGTAGATAGTCGTAGAACCTCCGCGGCCCACACTGAACCCTTGGCTTTCTCTGCCGGAAAGGGCCTCTTTTTGTGCAGTAGGGGCTCTCGATTCTGCTGATCCTGGATGAAGGAGATCTTGCTCAAGTATCCCATGCCTTAGCTGCCCGGGTCAGAACCCAAACGTACTTCCAACTTTCGGGTTGGAATGGCTGTTGAAGCGCAAAAAAGTATGACAGGCTTTCCAACCTCAGCTACAAAGGTGCGCTGGAAGCCGCCGGCAACGAGGAGCTCTTTGTCACCTCACGAGGGGTTCGCAGGATTGTGGACATGAAGACTCTTTTGAATCCTGGCTTGCATTCCTTGTGTTAACGGGGGTGTTGGGCAACAGCGACGAGTTCTGTAGCGAGAGGTGCAGGGGTGGAGGCCTGAGACAGGAGTTCAACGGGAACACGTGCCCAAGGACTCTGGACAGCTGGACTTCGCTTTGCCAGCATGTTACGAGGCGGAGAGGCTTGCTTCTCCCATTTCAAGCTGTCTTTCTTGACATGCCAATGTATGCCCTAAACCCTTTTGCAACAGGCTTTCCACGTCGCCCTAAACCCAAAACCCGCTATTTCGGAATCTTCTGACATCCCCCGCGCCTTCGCCGTAGAACTGAATCTTTCGGGCTGGACCCGGGCAGCCGCAGCGACCTTTCCTGACGAGGGATCTGTGTATGCTGCGCAGATCCACAGCCACAAAACAATCTCTTAAGCTGTAGGGACCTTCATAATTAGACTAGGGTTTTGGGCTCCTTGAGAGTATAGCTACAACAAGGAACTCTAAGGAATAGTATGGGTAATTTATTTTTGGGCGTCTGCAGGAAGCCCTTTTTTGGGAACCGAGACTCTGCCGATCAGGTAGGAAAAGCGATTGCAAGATCAGTCCGTAAAGCCTGCCCTTCCTACTCACAGCATCAACTTTGCAAAGGCAGCTGCTAGGTCAATCGGGATCCTGTACTAATACTATGCTGTATTATGCTAGATTGCACTATAACATACTCTACTATACTCCACGATACTATAGTTACATTCCTCTAATAGTAGCATACTGGACTATACTGTAGCATACGGTGAGTTGGAGATTGGTGGCCCGGGGGCTTTGGGTGTCTGACGGCTTCTGTTGTTTTTTGGACTTTTTGGGGCTTGGGGGTTATGGGTACCCACTTCAGATCTGCGTGGCCTACGGCTTGTTCTGGGTTTTTGGAGCTTGCAGCTTGCTAGGGTTGGGGGGGCGGGCGGGGTCGGCACTTAACGATGTACGGTTCACAGAAGACGGGCTCCCTGTCTTGAAACAGGATGCGGTTGGGTTGAGGCACCAAGCACTTTAAGTGCTTTACCTTCTCTGGGCCTGTCTGGCTGAAGCAGTCCAAAGTGCAGGTCAAAGGTATTTAACTTTGCTACAGCAACTTCTGACAGGCAGCAGGTATCTCGCCAAGCCGTCTGCAGTGTCGAAGATCCACATGCGCACCTCGCACGCTGCAAAATTAATCTCTGAACCCTTGGAAGTTGTACACATGCCTGAAGCCTAATCTTTAATCCCTAAAGTCCCCAATCCCTCACCCTCAGAACCCTCTTCTTTTTTTTTTGCTGCAGGCTTGCACCCTCAGCCCCTACACCCGGAGCCCTGTTAACCCCAAGAACAGGTGCATCGGTATGCAAAAGAAGCTCTGGAAGTCCACAGAAGCCCCAAAGGCTCTCCAAGATGGCGCTCTCCACAAGCAGACCAGGCTCGGAAGGTCATTTGCAAACCGTTAAGTGGGGTTCGGAAATTTGAAAATTTTGGGTATAGGTGTTGGGGTTCAGGACTAGGTTTAGGGCGTGGGTTTTCGGGTTTGGGGGTGTCTGTGGGACGAGACCAGCCAACTGCTCTTTGTTACTCGCCGCACGCCCATCTTTCGATTCGTACTAAGGGCACCCTCTCAAAACTTTGGCCAGGTTTATGAGCAAAGGTTACAGAGAACAAACACTTTTGCGATTAGTTGATGGGCCGACCACCCAAAGTTTAGGGTCCAGGGATTAGAGTGCCTCTGGATCTCTGAGGCTTAGACCAAATCCCCCAAATCCTAAGATCTCCAGAAATGCTTCAGCAGCCCCCCCTAAGACCCTCCCGCCTTCGAGCGACGGCCTGATAAAGGTAATTTACTCGTTCTTAAGGAGATGAAATTACAGTACCGACATACGGAAAGACTATCTTAGGGTTTAGGGTTTAGGGTACCACCTGTTATGGCATCAGCAAACCAACTTCCGATCAAGAACCCCTAGAGGGCACCAGGAGTCAGAGGACGGGACCTCCAAGTAAGACACATCACAGACAGCAAGACGATGACAGCGACACCGAGAACAACAACGACATGAGTAACAAGACTCAGGAGACTGACCATCATCTCATCAATATCCAGTATAACACTAGAAAAAACTCGGATCAGATGAAGGGCAAACGACCAGTTGCAGTCGCTCACAAGAAAAAACCACATGCAGTCTCAAAACACGCAAGCTGTTTGTCTAAGGTTCCAGCCGCGTTGTCGCTTCCACTGGTGAGCCTCAGACCATCTTTTGATTCCAGGAAGGACACAGGTCAGGATGATTGTATTCTCCTAATCTCCAAAAAATCTGATTTGATGCCAGGCAGGGACCGACTGCACAGTGAGACAGCGTCTTTCTGCGCGAGGCTGAAAGCTCGTCTTGTTGCACGCGCTCCCTATCCGAACTTTTGCGATATGAGGGTGCTGAAAAAGGGGCTCGCCCATGCCAAGCCTCGTGGTTTCGGGTTCTAATGAAGCACATGTGTGTGTGTGTGCAAGCCTGGCAGGTGATACTCGCTTGTAAAACTATCTGGGAGCTTCAGAACCCTAGAGCTTCGCGTGCCACGTACCGTTAGCTGCTTGTCAGACCCTCCTGCCATCGGCAAAAATCTCAGGGACACGACAACTTTGAAAGACCCGCCCCTCTCGTAGCTGCAAACCACGAGCCCGGAATCGATAAGATGAGAAGGACATATGGGAGCTTCCGGAAATAAAGGGTACCGTATTTTAGGGTCCTTATAATAAGGGTCCTACTATTTAGGGTACTAGATTAGGGTCCCCTATTTTCGGAAACTCCCATATCAAGACCGAAGAAAGCCTACTGCAGCTGCCATGGGGCAAAAGTGGCTCTTTGGGCAGGAAGACCGCAGAGTTCACCGGCCCCTGTGGAGCATTTTGAGTCATCGGAATGAGGGGTCAGGGCATCCAGAAACTCCAATACCCCTTAAGTAAGGAATGTACCTTAAATTATAGTAGGATCCCCAATATGAATTTAAGGTATATTGCTTAATTAAGGGGTATTGGAGTCTCTGGGCATAGGGGTTCCAAGATTCAGAAACGTTCAGAATTTAGAGGAGAAGGCCAAGGCGCGAATACCCAGCAACCAAGGTTGAACTTACGAGCTCGCATTTGGTAGGTTGCCGGCTCGTGGTCGAAGTAGATGTTTCGGTCTTCAGGCCTTTTGGTTTCTATCCGCAAGATATGCTCTGCACTTAACCTTAGCCCGCTAGCCTTAGCCCTAGCCTAGACCTGCTTGAAGTTCTGGCGTCTCTGCTTCAACGAGAACCCTGGATTTAGAGGGTATACTTAAAGACTAAAGGATCATGGGACTTCGGAAGTAGGGTTATAACTAAGGTAAGTATACTTCTAACCCCAGTTAAGGGGCTTATAACCTTACTTACTAAGTCCCACGATCCTCTAAGTAATGAGCCTGAAGCCCAGCTTCCGGGGCCCAAAGTGTGCCCTCAAGCTTCGGATGTCGGGATCCCAAGGGAACGCAACTTCCAAGTTCGAAAAGACCCCAATTTTTTAAAAGTCGCTCGACTGCTGCCCTTACTGCCCAGCTTGACCCACATGACAGTACTCATGACCTCGAAAAGACCCTAAACGCTTAATTCACAGCCGGCTTGAAGCCCTGAATCTGAAAAATACTCCAATCCGAGAGGCATCGAGCGACCACAACACTCTCCCATGCGCAAAGAGCCCGAAGCCCCGAAGCCGACGGTTTCAAGCATACATCTTTTCTCTTGATCTGAATCTGCTTCTCTATGTTATCGCTGTTCTCTTCCTACGGTCAGTGCCAGTCTTGCAAAGCACTACACCATTGCCTTAAGATTCTTTCTTATTGACGATATCTGCTTTCCAGGAGGTGCTCCGGCCTTGTGCGCTCTTTCGTGCAGCTCCACTAGCCTCCGCGTCTCTAAGTCCCAGACTGCGAACTCGCCTCGCTGCGAGTTGAGGGTCAGGGTTTGAGGGTTTAGGGTTTAGGGGTGTGTCGGATTTCAGGGTTCAGGGTAATTAAGGGGTTGCAGGTTTAGAGCCTGGGGGTTTGGGCGCACAGGTTTAGGGGTTAGGGTGGCGGGTTTGGGTTTCCGGTTCTTGCTGAGGAATTAAAGCCAAAGTAGAATCCACTGGCTTGACCTGATAGGTGCTCTGTTTAGCACGTGCCTTTAAGCTTTAACGCCAGTAGGCAAGGAGACGGATCCTGTATGTCGGGAACGATTTGAGGCTGAGGGTCTTCGGGCTTCTCTTGCTGGCTTTTGGTCATTGCATTTCGAAGTCAGGGTTTGTAAGGCATTGGGCCCTTTCGGCCTAGGGTTTCGGCTGGCTGAGGGCACAGGGCTCGCGAAAAGAAGGCGAACCCACTCTTGCAGGGCAAGGATGGCTTCCGTAGAACAAAAATACACACTTCCGCACTACACTTTGCGAAGACACTTTGCAGGTGGAAAGAAACAATGAGAATGCCCTGCTGCTCCAGCCCCTCGCAGCTGATGCAAGGCGTCTGCATGACGAGATGCTCGTAAACCGCCAGGTGATTGTGCCACTTTAATGTATGAAGCACTTTAAAATGCAGTACCCCAAAAAGTCAAACTTCAAACCTCGATGGGCAATCCTTCGGTTCTTTGTCAAAGCGCCAAAGTCTTAAAGTTGAAGCCTTTCACTAGAGCCTCCCATTCCGCAGCAAAGGCGCCGGTGGAACACCCGCTGACCAGGTTGGGCTTTGCGCTGTCGTCGGATCGGAATGCCAGGCCTGTGGCAATACAAGAGATTACTTGGCAATACAATTCAACAGATGACTACCTAGCAGATCGAGATAAGCAATAAGCTCTACATAGTGCCATCCCAACAACGCGACGAAGTCGAGTCGAGCATGGCGCAGATACAGCAATCAAGCACCACAAGAAGCCAATGCAAATGCACGTGCTACAGTCTTGAATGCAATATACTGCACAGGAGAGACTGCGATCTCATGATGTATGGCCAATGCAGGGCACTTCTGTGTCTGGGCTGTTGCAGCCATGTGTTAAGATCCGCAACTCACGAACGACGATGAGGCGGACCCATAAAAACTGATCCGGAAACAAATCTCCTCAACAACAAATATCCCACAGGTCTTTACTTTCTGGTGCCCTCCCTGCAAAGCGAGGCGGTGGCTACCCCCATGGAGCTGGCACTGCACGTACATGTGTGTGTATTTATATGTATATATCGATCCATCTATCTATCTGTCTATCCATTCCGTGGTGGGGCCTTGGGGAAACTTCAAGCCTCCTGCACGTAGGGATTGGGATTGGGGGTTCAAGGGTCCGGTGTTTTACGCTCTCACACTCGGACTCGCCAGACGAGGCTCACAGGCACAACGTTCGGCGGACTGGAAAGCGTGCGTTGTGTTCTACTGGGTTCTTGTTAAGGGATTTAATTTAAGTTACCATAATAGGGATCTATAGTAAATAATATGGTTTCCTTATTATGGTAACTTAAATTAAATCCCTCAACAAGAACCCAGTCTAGGCTTTAGGAGTGTTTTGGGAGCTTGAGTCCTGAGAACATCGAACTAACAAGGGGTGTGTACTGATACTGATGGTTTAGTTCCTGGCCCCATCCCCGAAGCCCCAGACCCTCAACTCAAGCATTAAACTACTGAGCACCCGCCGACTCCCCACAACCTAAACCCTAAACCCCTAAATCCCTTTTTCACAAGGGACTCTGCTGCTGCCCTTACTGCCCAGCTTGACCCCTAAATCCCTAAACCCCTAAACCCTAAACCCCTAAACCCCCCAGTTTTCTGCAGAGCGGCAGGTAACACGACCCTGGGCTTGATTGAACTCGAAGAGCACTCGGTCCTTCGAAGGGAAGAAAGCCCCTACTTGGAGGATCATGGGACTTAGTAAGTAAGGTTATAATTGGGGTTATAAGTATAGTTACCTTCGTTATAAGCCTACTTACTAAGTCCCATGATCCTTTAACTAGGTTCCTGAGTGACCACTACTTAATAAGGGTACCCTTTTTCCTAATATTGGGTCTTAATAAGGAGACCCCAAAATAAAAAGGGCAAAAGGGTACTACTCAGGAACCTAGAAGCTGTAGAGCAGAGTTCAGCATTCAGATGGATAGTGTATTGTATAGTACGTATGTTTTATATACTGTATGTATCTTTAACTATATTTCTTTTTGGATTTAAGGGTGTTTTTAGGTGGGATGCTTTACTGTCGCGGGGGTGGGGGGGGGGTCTTTGTCGCTTTGTGTTGCTTACCCTGCGCCCTCTGCAAGAGCTTGCTCGCTCGCTTCGGTGCAAACTCGACAGACGATTTGGGCTTCCTTGCGAGGTCCTTGCGAAGTTGGTAGCTTACCCAAAAGGTAACACACGCTCGAGTGACTCCTAACGGTTTGCGCGTGAGTTTTTCGACGTGCAAGCCGAAACGTGCGCGAAACTGTGGTTTCAGCCAACATTTGCTTGGGACATGTGTTTCAAGGAAGAGCGCGATCCTCGAGAGGGGTCACTTGGAATGGGGCATTTTGTGCGTATTACAGTGGTTTTGAGCACATTCTGAAGCAAGCGTTTAAGTAAAACTTTACCTTTCTTGTTTCGGGGTCTCCATCTGTTTCTTCTTCGCCCAGTGGCATCATCTACCTCGTACCGCCCAGCTGGAAAAGCTCTCGCAGAACAACAGCGGAAACGGATGGAGTCGGGGTGGACGTTATCA